CTCTATCAACCCTATTGCAAACTATGTCCTAACATTAACATCTTCCACTTCTCTTTACCCCCCTCAAAATCTCTCACTCTTTCTGTCTCTCTCTCACACACGATCTTTTTCTCGTTATTTCTACCACACTCTCTCTCTCTTCTCTCTCTCTCTCTCTTTATTTCCCTTTTGTCAGTGGCGCAGCTAGGGTAAGTGCCGCCCGGGGCTACTCAAGATTTCCTTCCCCCCCCCCCCCCTTACACCCCCCGTCCAACCACACGAAAAACCTCTGCTATTGGCCGAGAATGAAGTCACTCAATACAGAGAAAAAATATTCCTCAGTTTTTTTCCCTTCTTTTTCTCCCTTATTCTTTTACTTAAGTATCTCTCTCTCTCTTGCTCTCTTTTCCTCTCTCTTTCCGTTTTACTCACTCTCTTCTCTTCTTCTCCTCACCATCCTCCACTATGTCTGGCCCTCTCTCTTTTAAGCCGTTTCTTTCTTTTTCTCTCTCTTTCACCATCTGTTTTCTCTCCCTCCCTCTCGCTCTTAATCTCACTCTCTCTATCTCTCTCTCTTTCTCTCCCTCGATCAATCTATCTCTCAACTTGTCCTATTTGTTTCATCTCAAAAAGCGAGCATGTAAAATAAAAATCAATTTTGTCGTGCCAAATTGTTCGTTTAAAAATTTCCATGATATTTCCATGATATTTGGTTTATGAAGGGAAAAGCGGAGGAGGTTGATAAATGACTGTTAAATACCAGTTTTAATTAACTTCAAAAAAATTAATGTCTTTTTAAAAATTTATTCTGCGATATCTTTTTAAGCCATTTTGAGTTCAGCTTTGGGGGGTGGGCTTGATCACAGCCAAATATTTGTACTGACTTGATTTCATTTCCGACCAAATCCCGACCTGTTCGTCTTAGTGTGTTTCTTGTTTTGTTTGTGTGTTCATTTGTCTTTTCATAGCTCGATTGGCGAAGCCATCTTATCATCTGATTGGCTCAATTGGCGAAACCATCTTATCATCTGCTTGACTTGGACTCGTGAAAGGGACCAGACGTGTGTCCTACCCCACCCCCTCCCCCCGGTCACCAATCTAGAAAGAACAGTTCCCTAATCCCTCTGACATCCTACAGGAAGAAATTGAACCTTAAAACCCACGGGGGGGGGGGGGGGGGGGGGAGGGGGAAGAGGGGTGCAGGAAGGGGGAAAGGGGTATTCTTTAACACACGAACGATTCACTGTCATTCCTTCTGAAATGTGGGTGAGTTGGAATGCGGCTTACTGGGTGGGGTGAGATTGGGGGATATTGAATACACTTATGAAGGGCGTGTTGTTGGTGAGGTTAATTGATACTAGAAATGATCTCAGTTGGCTAACGTTGGGGCTCTGAATAGAGACAGAAGGCATACATTACTCGGTGGTCAGTCCTGTCGTAAAGGTAACAGGATCCAAGCTGGGATCAAACTTTGCCTTTTTATTTTTCAGAATATTTAATTTTTTTAATTTGTCTGTTAAACAATCATTGCAAAGTTAGACCAATAGGAAATAGTTGGAGCGATTGTAATAAAGTTTTATTTGTTCTAGGGGGTGGGTCGGAAAACTGCGGCCCGAGGCTTTGTTTTTTTTATACGGCAAAGCCGGCAGCTTATAAAGTTACAGTAATAATTTTTCTTTTTTTAAATGTAAAAATGCAGTAATTCAAAATAACGCAAACTTATCGTTAGTTATCTTTAACGGTATCATGACAAAAGTAGGAAGGCAGCAGTAATTGCCTTATTAACCCAGTAGAATCATCAAGATTCTGCTTCTTGATGTAACTCTTCAAAGTAAAATTTTTATAATTTGGTAAAAATATTATGGAATTTTCGACCCAGCTATTTTTTTTAAAAATCCTTTATATTAACTTCGCTTTTGCTCGTGGCTGGCTGGCAACATCTTCGGATGGCTAATTGACCCCCTTCACGTCAACCTATCGAGCTGAAGCTTGGCACATGGACTTGTTGTCGATGACAGCACCATTTATCAAATGTTCAGCCCCACCCACCCACCAAAAATCCGTTTTAAGGAAAACGTGAAGGAAATATGATGACACTTATTTCACGAAATAGTACTTCTGTACTAGAACTTTATGATTTGGTTTATATAAATAAGCTGCTGCGTCACAGCAAGTGAAAAAGATACAATCTTCAAATAAAAATATTAATTTACACACACAATTATATAACATCTCGATTAGCAAAAACCTCTCGCTCGCTCTCTCTGACTCGCTCTGTCTAGCTGCTAAGAAATCACGCAGTCTATATTTAGGAACCAACTCAGAACGTTCTTGTACTGAAATTCTAGAAATTGTGTCAACTAATGGCATTTTTAAAAAAAAATAAATATAGCGCAATCGAATGTAAGCAAACTTTTCCCAGCCAAGAAAGGGGTTGGCAAGGAAGGAGGGACACCGCACTTTTGCCAGGTGACGGCAATATCAAGGCCATATCAACGAGACAAATGGTAGTGGCTTAAAATAGCTCTAACTTAAAGTGAAAACTAGGCCAAGGCGTAGGGTACATGAAAACACTTTGACTGTACGAAAAATAGACTTTTAGTGCTGCTTTCGATCTCATCAATCTGACATTTTCATGTGAAGCTGTGGGTAATGGATCGTAAAAACTGATAACCAGTTTCAACCAGATTCCTTTAACTTGGAAAGTATTTTTGCGATACCGACGTCTCTAGTAGCGTTATATATGAGTTGTACCCACTACACCCATTCTAACGTCTGGAAAAAAAACATTGGTCATGGCGTTAAGACGTCAACTTATTTGTTATTAGGGCGCCAATTAGTTACTTATATTTCCTAGAAATTGTCCACACAATCTGATTATGACTCCTGTTTCTTTCCTAACAATCGTGACAAACCTCAAATCCCAAGTGAAAGAAGATGCGGGCTTTACAGACAGAAAATATGTTTAATTTTCATGATATCACACGTATACAAACACACCGAATCATTTGTACGCGCATAAACATACACCTTTAGAAAACTCTGAATCGAGTGGCAAATACATTGCAATCAAACGAAGAAAAGGAAGCAAATATTTTATTTTATTTTTTTTTAATAAAAATACATTTTAATCTTTCATCACTGTCCTGCAACGGGTATTCTTAAATTTATATTACACGTTGCTGGAGACGCGCTATTCATATGAACAATTATCGACATATCGTTGACGTGAGAAATTATTGAAGAAAGCAATCGATGAGGTATTCAATATGCTTCTCCACTGCTGAAACAATAGCGATGCTGACAGGTGTTTGACATCTCAGCGTTCAATTTATTTCTTTAAAAAAAAACATTATTTTATTTTAACATTTTGTCTGTCGTCAAAATCGGTCAACTGAAAATTGTTGCAAATTTTTTTTTCAATTTTTTTTTCTTCTCACGAACCTAGTGTAACAAATAATTATCGCTGGACAAAATGACATTAAAATATGTTTCGTGTTTAAGTTGCGTAATATGCATTAAATAAATGGAGCTAATCCTTAATCTAAATCTCAATTGGTAAAAACGAGCCTAAATTATAAAGTGTTTTGTAGAACTTTGCAAACGACCATTACTCAAGTGCTGTATGATTCGACTTCACAGAACCACGGAAAACTCTTGGGTGGTACTAGGTTACATTGCAGCTGGTGGCCGTGTTTTATTCCCCCAATCAAAGAAATGACGTGCTAATTGGCATTGCCAGCTGAGGTTGCCCTTGAGATGGGGAGCAATGCGCTCTGCCAAGTAGTCGCTCTCTATTTATGGCGTCAAAGTTCAGAAAGTGCCACGTGATTTTTAAGAACTAAGGAATCGTGGTTCTGACAAGCTCTTAGATTCCAAGGCCACAGCCCCACTCAGCACTCCAACGGGCACCGGGTTGTGTCGTGCAACAGTTCACGCTGTTAATGAGACTTGTATGATAACGAGGACGCAGTTAATGCTGGGATGAAGTTAATTAGGATACTGGCTACAGCGTAACTCTTGTGGCTCATGATTTCTTTATGAACTTTGCTTTGTTAAAGTTTACTTCTTCTCTGAGTGCATTTCGCTAATCCACAGTTCAAAGAAGACAATCATATAAATAACTGGGTGCAGTTGTTTTTTTGTACACCTGGTTCGGGTATTTTGTAAAAATAGCTGGTGGGTCCAAGTGTTTAGTTAAAAAAAGAGTTAACTTCTCATTCTTCTACAATAAATGCAGTATACATAGACAATGGGAGGACAGAAGGTCCTACGCCCTACCTGCAGGCCTTTAAACAATAGGCCCACAGTCAGTTCTACGCCCTACCTGCAGGCCTTTAAACAATAGGCCCACAGTCAGTTCTACGCCCTACCTGCAGGCCTTTAAACAATAGGCCCACAGTCAGTTCTACGCCCTACCTGAAAGACAGTTCTACTACCTACCTTCCGGGTTTGTTTGTAAATAATAAGCCTACAGATAGTCCTGCACCCTTCCTCCTGGCTTTAAACGATATGCCTACACACAGTCCTACAGATAGTCCTACAGATAGTCCTGCACCCTTCCTCCTGGCTTTAATCGATATGCCTACACACAGTCCTACAGTCAGTCCTATAGACATTCCTACACAGTACCCGTGCCTCTTTACTGAATAATATAATAGTTATCTCCGTATATATTCAACCTTTTTACCTGGGTTCAGCCGTCACGCGTGGCGGTCGCACCTTGAAAGCTTTTCTGTTTTTGTCACTCAGTACTAATAATATAAAACATGTTGAGTTAGGAGGATCAGTTTTGAAAAAGAACCAGCCACACCAGAAGCAAAATATATTATAAGAGATTTCCCAAATGCACCGTTCTTGACTTTGATGTTTCTTGTTTCAAAGTATGTTATTTCAAAACTCTGTTGTTCATTTCAACATCCATGTTCTTAATTACGATAGACCTGGCGGTAATTTGTTGTAGTTTTTTTTTTTTTTAAATCTACCTCTAACGTGATGTTCTTTTTTTTTTCATCTTTCAGGTGAGTAACCTGTTTATCGTCAGCCTAGCAGTCGCCGATGTCATCGTCGGCATCATCGTCATGCCGATGAGCGCCTTCTATATCTTCACGGAGAGATGGATGCTGGGCGTGGCCGTCTGTCAGATCTGGATAGGCGTGGATTACACGGCGAGCACCGCCTCCATCCTCAACCTTTTTATCCTCAGCCTCGACAGGTACTGGTCAGTTCGCCAGCCCCTAAAATATTTGCATAAGCGGACTAAGCGCCGGGCCATGACCATGATCGGCATCGTGTGGGCTGTGTCCTCTCTCTGGATCATCCCGATATCAAGCTGGCACTACTTCGCCCACGGCGGGGTCCGAACTGTGGAGAACGAAAAATGCGACACGGAATACGCAAAAAACTCCGCTTTCAAACTCGTCACGGCCTTCTTCAACTTCTACCTGCCAGTGTCGGTCATGTACATCTTATATTTTAGAATCTTCATCGCCATCAGGAAGCGTTCAGAGTTTGAGCTCGGGCAAAGGAACCCTGGCGGCACCGTACTTTCGTACAAATCCAACGTTCCCAATTCTCTGGACGAGAGTGACTGCAACGATGACCTGTCGTGCAGTCTTGATCACCGTCTCCCGGGTGGGATCGAGATAAGACCACGGGAAAATGGTACCCGGCCTCATCTGCCGTCCGGTGCAAGGAACCTTCGTGTTCTGACTATGAAAAGGCACACGGCCCCTTGCTCGTTCAGAGAAGCCAACTCCGCCCCGTACAAGGTGGAGTACATCTACGATGAAAACGTTATCGATCCTCAAACTGAGAAAATAGAACGCTACTACTACGAAGACCACTACCCTATACCATGCCTCTCCCGCCCAACGTGGGTGGTTGGTAGTGAAAAGTATACGTCGTCGTCTCATCGTCAAGGGCGGCATCGTAGTCCTCGAGATTACGCATCGCCGCTGAAGCTTCAGTCCTCGTCTTCGGTAGCTGGTTGTGGTATGGCGTCTAAAGATCAAAACCAGCAGACGCTACCAAGCTATCTGGCTGTAGGGTACAAAAACAGCGCTGTGGTTAAGAGGAGCTTGTTCCGCCGTCAAAGAGCTGCCAACAATGCAGGCTTGAGCAGCATCCGGCTAGAGAGCTACAGGAAATACGAACCGGAAGAGCCATGTTTCCCGCCATCGATTTTCAACGAGCCCGCCAACGTATCGTCGTCCTCTTCGTCTTCCGCGAGCACCTTCGGGGACGATCACCGCAACAACGACAGTAGCCGTGACAACTGTCGCTCGGACAAATTAACCCACAGGGAGAACTACTCTGTCGTGGGCGGCGTGAGGAAGATTCGCCAAGTGGAGACCTTTCTCGACAAAACAGTTGGTCTGGGCCCCATAGCCCCACCGAGCGTGGACGGGTCTTCGAGGAATGGAGACGACTTCGACAGCGTTCTGACGCTGCACGACGATAAAAACCGGCGACTGACCGGGGGCGTCACCGGCCTGAAGGAACGGTTGAAAACAATGAGGCAGAGCTCATCTCTGAACAAGGAGATCAAAGCGGCCAGGCAGCTCGGGGTCATCATGGGGGCGTTCACGCTCTGCTTCCTGCCCTATTTCATTCTATTTTTGGTGGTGGCGTTCTGCGACGACTGCGTCAAGCCGGCGCACTTGACTGCGGCCACGTGGGTGGGCTATCTCAATTCGACGCTGAACCCTTTCCTCTATCCGCTTTGCAACGCCAATTTCCGAAACAGATTCAAGAGCATGCTGGGCTGTTGCGGGAAGGGGCGTTCGGGCAGTCGCGGTGCGCACCAAGATTACTGTGAACGAAACACGGCTTTTAATTCCCGCTACGACTGATGCTAACTTTTGGACAGATCAGTTAGATGTGTTTGTTTCTTTGTTTGTTTGTTTTATTGTTGGTGGGTTTTTTTTCTGCCATGTTTACAGCACAATTTATGTTTTATTATGTATCTTTACTAACAATAATAGTGAAAGAGAGGATTGCAAAGACACGTCAGGAATTTGAGTACTTAAAAAAGAAAGTAATATGCAGAAATAAAATCTTAAAAGAAAGAAATAATTATAGAAAGAAAGAAAGAATTATCGAAAGAAAGAAAGAATTATAGTTTGAAAGAATGAATGATAGAAAGAAAGAACAACCTATTGTATTGCCCTATGACGTCAATTAGTTTTCTTATTGAGTTAATAAATGTAAGGGGAAAAAAACCTGTTCCCTTGTAATAAGTATTGAAATATAACTTACACGTTTACATGTTATTGTGTTCAATATCTTTATCAGAGGGTCATCTGAAACCACTGTTCTGAAGAAAGTTTATAAAGTGTATCAGAGTGTCATGTGAAACCACATATTACATTTTCATCTGGTAACTAGTAGTATCCAAGAGTAAAATATTACATTTTGATATAGAAACTAGAAGTAGGCCTATCCAAGAGCCAAATATTACATTTTGATCTAGTAGTAGCCAACAGCTGCGTGAGAAATATTGAAAAGCCCGCGTGCGCCTCGCGGTCTGATCTCTCGATGGCTTATTATGGTATCAAGATTAAATGGGTGGCCGGCCTGTAATCTTTGAACTAATATCACATATTAGTTTCACCTAAAAAAAACTTCAAATTAATTTTGATTAACTTTTTTATTTTTTTTTTAAATTTCTGTTTTCTAAGGTCCAAACATGCCAAGATCATGTTACAATGTTCATCTTGTCTTCTTCCATCAAAGTGTTACATCTTAGGAACAACTGTTTCTTCATGACATTTCGTGGACTTAAATGGCGTGTGAGATGTTGTTGAAATAGAATAAAATATATGGCTTTGAATACAATCAGATGTTTTATTCACATTTTCCTTATTGGTTATAAATCGATTTTTTTCCCTGTGGTTCGTTTTTGGTGTTTTCATGATTATCGTTGTTTATTTATCACCCTTGTCTCTACAAATGTCTGTTCTACACCAAGGGAGTGAACAGTTGTATTCTTCATTCCAATAGATTATAATAGCAATACTTTCTTCCCTTGAACGTGATCATATTTTTAAAAGCCTTTCATTTCTTTTGTTGAATTTTTAAAAATCACAACAGCAAAAAGTTAAATGAATATTTCCCATTTGTGGACCATAATTTTATGGGACTCAAGTCTAAAGCTATAAAATATAATCATTAGGAAAAACAACATCGAGAAAATCCTGATTTGGAGGAAAGGCATAAAGGACATGTCAGATCTGCAACAGAGTGTTCTGTTTGTATAACACTCTAAACCAGGGGTCACCAACCTACGGCCCGCAAGACCAGTTTATCACGTGCGGAGACCTCCTGGCTGCTATGTGCCTTAAATTTACCATTTTCAATTATTTTATTACATTTTCTTGTTGATTACAGGCCCGTCTGCCCTCAAACTCCTAAAAATTGAATAATATCGTCTCAAAATCGTATAATTAGGTATCTTAAGAGTAAACGGATAGACATAAAGTATGTCAAATGAATACAATTACTACTTGCATCGCAGTGCCTGGTGGGATCGAGTTAAGCCGGCCTCAACAAAATTAACTAAGGTACTAAAAGTGGATGACCGACGTTTATAATACAAGCTGCGGGCCATTTTTTTTTTTTTTTTTTTTTTTTTTTTTTTTTGGCGTTTTTTTTTTTTTTTTTTTTTTTTTCTGTAAA